TGTGATATATATACTATTAAATTTTGGATTTTCGGTCCGATACCGTGGCTAAGTTTCGGTATACCGAATATTCGGTATGGCATCGGTATGAAGATTTTGATACCGAAATTTCGGTATACCGACATATCGGTATACCGATTTTTTCGGTACGGTAACGGTATGGAATTCTCATATACCGGTATTTCGGTACGGTATACGGTATGGCATTAATTTTTCGGTATGCCATACCAACCACCCCTAATCATTATATTAAACCCTGTTTGGTTCTATATTAATCCGTATTAATTAATATATCTTTCTATTGCTTAGATTCTTTTTACTCCAACACCAATGCTATATTCAATATGAAGAATTGAAAAAGAAAGACATTGACTTAAAACTAGGAACTGCCATTTTTAAAATAAAATCAAAACTTTAAACATTTCATAAGAAAATAACTGATGATCAATTCATATATTGCTCTGTTTATGAAATACTTTATCTGACTTAGAAGATAAAAACATTTCAAAGAGTGATAAATGGTTAAAAACATTTATAATTTTTAATTGAATATAACCTCTGCTAATGATCTACTTCGAACCCAAAATGCTTATTTTTTATGAAATGTTTTCAACACTGTTTATGAAATTCTTTTTCGAATTTAGATTAGATGGAAACTTAAGCCAAACCCCGGTTTTTATATTGGATAGAATAACCATTTATTTCGAATATAACCTCTGCTTATGATCTACTATTCTACTTCGAACCCAAAATGCTGATTAAGGTCATGTCCGTGGAGAGGAGATCTTTTGGAGAACATCACTTACAGGGTTTGATCTTGCGATTTGATCTACTATTGGTACGTTGCATCGAAAGTCTTCCTGATATTGAGGTGATCAGGCGGCGTGTCCCGTTAATAGATAATGGCTGTACAAGACAGTTTGGTGGATCATTTCTTGTTGCGGAGGAGATCATGACCATTCCTTGATGGCTGCTCGTATGGTGTGATACAAGCTTTGTTTGAGGGGTAGCAACTCACATCCAAGGTGGAGACTGCTGAGTCTAAATGTGAGGCTCGTATTGGTGGTTGAGTGTTACTTCTCAATTAAGTCCGTATGGGGAGATTTGTTGGGCTCCCTCCTTAATTGAGAAGCTAATGAGAATTCTAGAATACTGCGGAGATGTCTAGAATTCTCTATATGTGTGTAGAGTAGTATTGAATGTTCTAGAATATTCCGGAGCTTTCTAGAGAGACGTGGAATTATCTAGAAGCGTGTGCAGGGGCGGACCTATTATAGGTCAAAGGTGTTCATGTGAACACCCAAATTTTATAACTAGTAGTGTAAAAATACATGTATATGGGTGCTATTGTAAAATTTTCTATAAGTATATGAACACCCAAATTTTATAAAATAAATTTGAACCTTCAAAACTAACATCCAAGATCCGCCACTGAGCGTGTGGGAGAGTGTAGAATATTCTAGAACATTATGGAGTTTTCTAGAGAAGTGTAGAATTCTCTAGAATCGTGCGGAAGTGTGTGAAAGCCTCTAGAACATTCTCAAGCGATGTGGAGTTCTCTAGATTCTTCTAGAAGATTAGAGAAGCTTGTGGATAGTTGTTGGAAGAATCTAGAGGTGTAGAGATGTATAGAAAATTCTAGAGAAGCTTTAAGGAGAGTAGTATAAATAAGAGTGAGACTCCTGATTCCTATGAGAGAGCCTCATGTGAGTGAGCCTAGAGAGAGAGCCTCCTCAAGTGATGAAAGAGAGAGAGAGAGAGAGTCTTGAGGAGAGCTCTTGAGTGAGTGAGTGCCTCCTTGAGAAAGGGTTGTGAGAATGATGTAATCCCATATACAAAGAGTGATGTGAGCTACCCGTTTACTTGTAAAATATCTCTTGTACATTTCAATTGTGCAATGCAATGTGTTATTGTTAGATTGAGCCTTTGTATTAAGAGTGAGTGGGTGGGTGTACAAGAGTCCTTTGAGCTTGTGATCCTGTAAGAGATCGAGGGTCGTGTTTTTCCCCAACAGTAGGGACGAAGGAGTAGTTGTAAATGGGATTGGAATAGGTCTCTGTTTAGGCGTCAAATTATAGTTGAGGTCACAAGCCGAATCATAATTGAGCGGGAGAATTATTCTCTTGCAGGGACGAAAGCATATTGATTAGAGAAAAGAACGATGAAAGGAGATGGAAAGAAGAGAAAAGATCATTACAGAAGTCGAGGCCTGAGGGGGATCGGTGATGAAATAAATGGAAAGAGCAAAGAAAAGCAAGAAATCGGAAAAAAGTACTTTTCGTATCCCACTTTTATCCCCACCATGTTTGTGCAGAGTTTTTTTTCTTGTCTGTGAATCCCAGTCATAGAAAAATATGTTTGTGCAAATTATTTTGTCTGTGAATTGTATTCACAAACATGATGGGTATAAGGTGGGTATAAAAGTGGGTAGAACAAGAAGTTAACTTCTTTTCTAAGTCATTATCCTGTCTTTCCTGGTTGCAATTAGTAAAATTAATAAAAAACCAATCCACATTACGCTTATTATTGTTGGATTGAATGAATTGATTGGACATGCATAATGACGACACTAAACACAAATGCTTGTCCGATAACAATGGAACACTAATTTTCAAATATTGGGACTTAAATTTGACTAACACACTTTAGGGAGGTCTCTAACAAAAAAAAGATGACACGTCATCCCTGAAGGCCCCTTCCCACCGACCGGACGACACGATATAATCACAATCTGACAGATCGAGAGCCCTATGTTGAGTAACCTCTCATAGCAGTTGTCGAGATTCGAACCCAAGACCCAACTTTTATGGCACTCCCTCGCTATCAGTTGAGCTACGCCCACCGGTACAGGCAGGTCTCTAACGGATAATTAATAGGTGGAGTTTAGAGTTCTCCATTAACAAATCCCAAGCTCACAAAATATTCTCCATGAGACTAAAATGTGAGACCTTTCCCTCGAAGGCCGGCTCATTAGTTTAGAATGTTTTTAATTGCATGAGTTTCACTTTCAAATTTGATCAGATCAAATGAGAACTAATCAGACTTTGACAGATCAAATCATATGAAATCAGAGTAGACAAGATTTCAACGGGTATAAAACACATAAAACAAATATTTATCAGGTCAAACTAGATCATAATAGTTCAAATGACCAAGTTTAAACAGATCAAATAAATCAAACTAGACAAAAAAGTTCAGGTTAGCTCAAATTTAAATAGATCAGATTAGAAAATTATTTTCCAATTAAAAACATGCATCATTAAGCATATGTTACCAACCGTAATTTGTTTATAGCGCTGATGAACTTCGTTCAAGTTAAAGTAGACCAGATTTCAACGGTTGTAAAAACACATAGAACAAACATTTACCTGACTAGACTAGAGGATATAACCAAGTTTAAATAGATGAGACAAATGAGAAAAGTTCACGTTAGATCAAACTTAAATGATGAGAATGAAAAATTATTTTCTAATTCAAATCACCGTAGTTCCTCAAATAGAGAGATTACAAGTGTTAGTTTGGGTAAAATTGGATTGGGAAAGTAGAGTAGGGCAGAGTTTACGTACTGGGCAAAACATTTGATGCGAAGTTTCGTCAGTTTTCCCACCTAACGTCTTACCTTTAAGCAATTCATTCAACCTACTATCATTATTTAATTTGTCTTCCACTGATAATGTGATTTTGGCCAACTCATCATAACCCGGCCCGATTCAGTTTTCTTATTTTTACACCGTTTGTCTAACAAACACGCCTTTGGGCATCATGTGCGCTGGTCTTTTTGCTTTGCACACTAATAATTCACCACCTGGACCCACCATTCAACGCTTCCAATTTTCTTTTTATAAAAATCCTTTCATTACACCACATTTATCCAAATTTCATTTACATTTTGTATAATTCAGTAAAAATAGCATGACTAAAATGAGAAGCGAAAAATAACATGACTAAAAAGAGAAATGAATACTCCGCTTTTGTTAATTGCATTGAATTAAATGGAAGGAATTGGATACAATTTTCGTGTATACAATAAAATATTCTAAACTTTTCTTGATCATGCTTAACTTCGGAATTCTTTTGGAATTCTGAAAGGATTTGATGCATTAAATCTCATATGATCGTATCTCAATATAAATTCCGTATATAATATATTTTAAATTTTGGAGTAATCAAATAAGATAATGCCTCGAGAACGTGTTTGGTGATTATCAATTTGACTAAAAGGACCAATTTGTCGAACTTAGCCACTTAGGACTTAATTGTTTCATGAAAGAAATTTGAAATTTCAGTTACCACGACATATATTCGAGAGAAAACGTAGAAAATGTTCACTACTATTCTTGTATAATCTGATATGATGTTTAGCATCATTCAATGTTTTATTTAAATGTTGTCTGGACCGAATTATTACTGTAATTAAATCAAATCGACATACATTTCAAATTTAAATATAAAACATTTTTTCTATTTTTTTTTATCCGTCGTACTCCCCGTAACAAAAAATCTTCCCACTTTCCTTTTTCGTCCGTAACAAAAAAATCTTTACCCTTATAAATTTTCTCATCATACCCTCAATAATTCTAAAAATAATACACTATTACAACTACTTTTTAAGTTACGGAGGTAGTAAGCTCCAAACGAAAAGTGATTGAGAAAATGGCGACTCACAAGATCTCCGAGCATTGACCACGGGATGACGGGAAGGTGCCTTGTTCTAAAGCAAGTCAGAGACTCCGGATGCATGAAAAACCGAGATAATAACTAAAAAGTCAATTAACAGATGCTATCTCAATAAATCTATTTTAGATTAAATTCTTCTTATTTATTTCATCCTACGGAGAATTAAATGTTTCTCTTTTTGTGAGAGAATTATACTTCGTATTGTTTTGATGTTTTCCCTATCCCTATCCCTAGCCCGATAAACAACTATTCTTATTCCCTATCCCTAGCATGTTCTGTGATCCAAACGTGCCCTTAAACCATAGTGGGTTGTTGGCTTGATGCACCTGGAAAGCATAGACTGCATTTAAAAAAGAATACAAAATATTATTATTGAAATGATATTATTTCCTATACAAAGGTGAAAACCGTTATAGAATCAAATGGACAATGGAAAATAAACCCATAAAAGTGATGATAATGGAAACTAAAATACATTAAAGATATCAATAAAGCAAAAAAAAAGATGAGGAAGTTAATTTAATCCACTACACAACCGAACATAGTACCAAATAAATCTCATCCGTCCAATCCTTAAAAGTACAAATCTACAGTCCAAATCCCAACACGTGTGGTAACTAGCACACACGTGGCACTACATCAGAGCTGCCACGAGGAGAATTCCGGCAACGGCGGCGCCGCTCATTCCGATCCTGGATGAACCATTTGGCGCCGGAGTACCATCCGCTGAGGGCTGCTCCGCAGGTGAACTTCCGGCAGGGACTGGCGCCGGCGCCGGTGCGGAAGAGGTGGACGCAGAGGTGGCGGAGGGTCCGGGAGAAGCAGCTGCCGGTGATGTGGTTGGTGAGGCGGTCGGCGACGGAGTAGGCGGTTTTAGCGGCGCAGTTTTAGTGGGCGGCGGCGCTGGCACGGAGGCGGGAGAAATTTTGGGCGCGGAAGCAGGGGCCTGAGCTAAGCATGAGGCGGTGAAGAGGCCAAGGAGTAGAAAGAGCTTGAAACTCATATTGAAAAGCTAGCACTTTCGATCTTCCACAAAGAGAGTTTTCTTTTTTTATGGAGAAAAGGATGGAGCAAATGAATATTGGAGAGAACTGTAAGAGGAAATATATATAGAGATTTCTTAGCTGTCAAAGGAATATAATGAATATATATACCCCTTCCTACCGTAATGTATAATTAATGATACGTATCAATTTCATACTGCGTAAACGCAATCGACTTCCCGCGGAGCAGTGGTCTGTTTTTGGCTAAGGTAGAGCGATCACGAGTTTTTCTCTCTAGGGCTTTGACTATGTCGGCCGCTGGAGCCTTTTTCCGATTTCGACTTTATCGAAGATCGGCTTTGTTATCCCTTGGTCGCTGGTGCTCGACTGGAGTCCAGGTCAGACGCGGAGGGTGGAGATCGGTGGAGAAGGGCAGATTTGTTGTCATGGCTCGAGGAGATCGGCGCTGTGGTCAAGGTTCGAGGATGCAGCGTTGCTGTCGTCGTTGGAAAAGATCGGCGCCGCCTGTCCGCTTACTCTGGTCGCACGGAGCAGGGATGAGTTTGGTTATGCAGGGACGGAGGATTGATGCATGGTCTTTGGCAGCCAAAGGTCATGGAGGATCCATTAGCATGGTACCAGTGGTACGACCTCCTCCTGAACCACCACCATGGGATGCACGAGGTGCTAGAGTTCGTGAACGTTTTTCTTATAGTTTTTATCTGTTTGTTATTTGTTTTCTTGCGTCCATTTTTGTTGTTGGGTTTGACAGTTTTTTTGAGTTTTTTGCCTCTCTTTTTATGTCATTGGGTATGGTTGGATCTATGAGAATAGTTTTGGCTGTGTCAAGCCCACTACGTGGTTAGCGATTCGTGTTGCTCTCTCAGGGGTGACCGTCTCAAAGTCTCACCATAGGGTTACAGTCGTAGTTGTTGGAGTTTCAGTTGGTGTCTGTTTTATTTTCCCTTTGCTTGATGTAATGATCGCGATGAATCTTTTGATATGAATAGAGGCATCTTTTGATGATCAAAAAAAAAAATTCATACTACGTAGTATTATTAAAAAATACTAGTAAACGGTACCCGTAATATGAGCATTTTATCATTCTAAGGCTCTGTTTGCAAGTGATTGTGCTTAAATAAAAGCACTTTTTGGAAAAAAGTGGTTAGTAGTAAAAGTTGGTAGTGTTTGGTAAAATAAGTGCTTTTTGTGTAATAGAAAAAGTAAAAAGCAGATTCTACACGAAAACCGAGAAAGTAAAAGTTGGTATTGTTTGGTAAAATAAGTGCTTTTTTTCTTAAAAAAAAGCGAAAAGCACTTAAATTAATTGTTTGCAAACAAAGCCTAAGCAGGGCCTAGGCCCAACCTCATAAATAAATAAAATTACTAGTATATACGTAGTATATTGTTGTTAAGTAATGGTATAATAGTATTATTGTTGTTGGTAAAAAATTCCATCATGTTAGCAGGATGGAAGCAGACCAGTGCATATATCCTTGACGTCTTGAGTTCGAAGCTCATGTTGAGCATAGTTTTTTAACTTTTCAATGGTGGAGCCTAGAGTGTAAAAAATATGGTTTTTTTCCCACACCTGAAGCTCATGTTTGAAGAATTCTTCATTCAAACATATACTACGTTTTTGTGCTAGATAGTAATATTGTGAATGAGTTAGGTACTAATATTGATATGCACTAATTAGTAGTGCATAAATGTATATTTTTATGTTTAATATGTGTGTATTGTTTACCATTTTTATTAGTTTGTAAAAATTTGTTTTATTTGATTTGAAATTATTTTTAGCTTCCATTTATAAGTTGTAAAGTAGTGGTAGAGTTTTTGGCAAGGAAAAGGAGGAAAAACAAGAGGAATGCTGCCCAGGGAAACTTACCCGGTCGGGTAGGAATACTCACCCGGTTGGGTACGATTGAACAAGCGAAAGTGCCTGGAAAATCACTGGACCTGGTTGGGTCCCCTACTTGACCCGGTCGGGTCAGATGTGACCCGGGACAAAACGACGTGCTGAAACACAAGAACGTGGAAGATTATGTGATTTTGACATGCACCCGGTCGGGTGGCCACTTGACCCGGTCAGGTACCCGGCCCAAGGTGTTGAAAAACACCTATAAATAGCACACTTTTCCTTTACAAATAATCATTCCTTCTTCCATACTCTTAAGTTCAGTTTAGAATAGTATTTCTTTTATATTTTTATAGCATGTTTAGTCTTCAAATGAGGAGCTAAACTTCCATTTCTTGGTGTTGCTCTTGAAGCTTGTTGATTATTAAAGTTGTGAGTTATTTTATTAACTTCTTCCCTTGAATATTAATTCTTCCCTTAATCTATCTATATATTAATGTTGGGGAGTGTTGCTAAGAAGACAATTAGTTAACATCTCGACATTAGTTATAGTAGTATTCATTTACTTCCTATATATTAATGTTGGGGAGTGTTGCTAAGATGACAATTAGTTAACATCTCGACACTAGTTATAGTAGTATTTATTTTCTTCCTCTATATATTAAAGTTGGGGAGTGTTGCTAAGATGACAATTAGTTAATATCTTGACATTAGTTATAGTAGGATTTATCATCTTTAATATTCTTCCTTGAATATTAATTAATTCTTATTCATATTTCATATTAATAATTTGAACATTACTTAAAGGATCAACTAGTTTTGTTTCATATATTAATTATTACTACAATCGATCGACGAATACGCTTGTTAATCGTTGATGGTTTCACAAGTAAGTAACTTCGGTTTATTAATGCACGGTCATGGTTAATAAACTTAAGAGGGATTAATTTTTTTTGTTAAACCGAAACCGTTGTGTTGAGGTTATCAATCTCAATTGATTTCATCAAGGAGTTAAGAGATTAAATATAGGTAGATTCTATGGTACCCTTTAGGTACCATACCTTTGTCAACATGGACCAATAGGAATGATGCAGTTGAATTAATTAAATCCAAATTAAAATGAATAAAATGATTTGAACCAATTAAATGCATGTTAGGTACGGTACCTCAATCTTTAAAAGGGTACCGGAGTTGCCACCTTAAATATAATGCTATTATCAAGTCTGTATATGACAGTGTTCTATACTTGACTAATAGTTAGAGTTATTAATGAACGGTCGTTGTTAATAACTACCCTCGATGAATTGGATATACTCCTCGATTGAGTATTCGCACTACAAAAAAGTGCACATAGACTGCACATGGACCACATTTTTTTGCGATGGCAGCATAACTGTCGTTAAAAACACCACTAATCACACATTTTTTAATTTACTACACACAAAAATGTACTGTGGTAAAAGTTTAGAGACGACAGTTTTTAACTGTGGCCAATGTTTTTACCACCGCTATTGTGCCGACGCACCTAAAACTGTCGCAAAACTGTCGTAAAAACATAAAAAGGAACATTTACGACAGTTTTGCGTCAGTTTTACGTGTGTTGCCACAACAGCCGTGGTAAAAACATTGTCCACGGTTAAAAACTGTCGTCTCTTCCATTTTACCATAGTTTTGTATGTGGTAAATAAAAAAATGTGTGGTTAATAGTGTTTTTAACGACATTATGCGGCCATCGCAAAAAAAATATTGGTCTATGTGCACTTATCTTGTAGTGTCGAGAGGGGATAAGTTATAGATATAACAATAATCGACTAAAATATATCAACAAGTGGAAAGTAGCAATGTCAAGTCCTTTTTATCTTTGAATTAAATCTCATATAAGTCGTTCATCTTCGTATTTAATTAAATTAAATCACTCAATCCCAAAAACCCCCTTATTCACTAGTTTTACTAAAAAGAGAATTATTCCTAGCTTTCACTGTGGATACGAACTCTACTTCACCTATACTACATATAAGTGCTAGTATCGAATATTATTTTGACGCACCGTGACAAAGTGCTCGTCAAATTTGGCGCCGTTGCCGGGGAAAGGCATTTTTTTTCTTTTTATTTTTGCTCATAAAAATAAAAAACAAAAAAATATAAAAAAAAATATTAAAAAAAAATATTACTCTTCTATTTTCTGAGCTTACATGAGTTATGAGTATATGGATACCAACACTTCATCCTTAGAGAGTCAAATTTCCTTCTTGACTTCTCTAATAAAAGAATTTATCTTAAGCTCAAAAGCTCAAGATGCCAAGACATGCAACATTTGCATGTCTCACAGGCATCTTACGAATTTCTGCCCAAAGCTTCAAGATGAATACCTTGAACAAATTGATGATGTTGGTTACGAAAGGGATGTACCTCACATGAGCTATGATCCGTTCTCCAACTCTAACATGTCTACGGAGGATATGATCCGGGCTATTGCTACCAACATGACCGCCATGCAAAACAACATGGTGCAATTCCAAAATGAAACCAAGTATAGCATTTCAAACTTGGAAACTCAAGTGACTCAAATAGCCGGAGCCGTAGATAGGCTTGAATCAAGGGATTCGGAAAAACTTCTCTCTCAAATAGAATGTGATCCTAAACGACAAATTTTTGTAATCACATTGGCAAATGAGAAGGAAATGCAAAAGGAGATCCAAAATCCAGAAAAAGTAGAAGAAGAAGAAGAAAGAGACGCAGAGCTCCAGCTAGTTAAAGAAGAGGATGAACCAAGTTTCAAGGTCAAATATCTATCCTTTTCATCCTTTGAGGTACCCCCAACAATTCTAAAAATTTTCAGGGAAACTCATAAAATTGACAAGGAAACTCCCCTGATATAACTATTAGGCAGGCGTTTGTTAATAATAGCTTGATTCCTAATATTGCTAATCAGATTCCTAGATACTACTCGGATGTCATTAATTCCTATGCCCCTTGCTTTTCGAATACTAACGACTCCTTTATCTGGCAACCTGAGGCTAATGGCTGTTTCACGTTTAAGAGTGCCTATGATGTTACCCGTAATGATATGAATAATTGGGAGGAAGCTAAGTTTGTTTGGAACTCTAGAACCCCCCTTAAAATTTCTTTCTTTCTCTGGAAGTTGCACAATAATTTTTTGCCTTTTGAGACCAAACTCCACTCTTTGGGTATTCTTGGCCCTTTCAAATGTCCCTTCTGTAATAACCATGATACTTTGGAACACTGTTTCCTTCATTGTGCTGTCACGGATAAAGTTTGGAGGC